CGAGTACTTCGATAGTTTTATGCATTTCATATTTTAATTCCTATTTTAATAATTTTTAATCTTATATTTTTATTATTTAATATAACAAATGGTTCAAAGGATTAATGACAATTAGATTGTAATATTAACAATTAATTAATTTATTATTATTATATAATCAATAATTAATTATGTTTTACATACATTACTTCGATTTCAAAATATGAAATGTTTAGCAAAGCAATACTCGATGAGTAAATATGACGTGACGCGGTCAGGCGTCGATCACTCGCTATCTTTACATGAAAATCTTGCATTTCTATCTCGCGAGATATTCGAGTTGTCGCTAAAATATTTTTCTCATATATATGTATATTCTCACATTATAATACTTGATAATACATTATTATACTTGAAAAATTGTATTAACAGCTGATTCGCCATTTCGAGAGAAATAGAGTATTTAAGAGGCTATCAGCTTTCGTTCCGATCACAATTGCTTATCCAAGGCGAATAGTTACGTCTAGTGCGTTTTCCGAGAGAGGAGAGGTTCAACAAATAAATAAATGTCCGGCCGGTTGAAGCAAACAAAAGCTGCTGCGCAAGCACACCGAATGCTTACGTTTGCTATGTTTCTCAAGAACAACGAATCGGATAAAACCGGTGCTGTTATTACTTTCGACAGACATCGACGATCTTTGTCAAATACGCGTAATAAATTCTCAAGTTATTGATATTTTTCTTCAAAGGATAACGAATAAATTACCTTTATGATTATATCTCATCTGTTACCATAATTTAATTCGAGGCTTTCTCCTTTATTCTTTTTCTCTCCCTTTGTATTATCCTTCGGGCACATCTGTGCGAAATAATAATTTCCGATATCGTGATTTAAGTATTCCGGCTTTAAATATATATGGGAAACAGCCTTGTACATTTGTAGAATAATACATGGCGATTAAATATGTGAAACGTTTGCGTAATTATTGTTTAACCTCGGGTACAGAAAGGGGAGAAAACTCCATCCCTAAACATCGACCTGTTGACTATTAGATGGAATTTTAAAGCACGAGTTCGAGTCCGAATTTCAAGTTGGAAATAAATTAAATTCTTCGAATCTCTCGAAAAGGGAGATATATTCGAAAAATTACATCTTTTTGAACTAATCTTCAAGCAATATATTTTTTCTATTGTAAACATGGGGAACAAATAAAAGTTTATTAGTTTGCAAAGAATACTATTTTCATTTAAGAATTTTCTTTAATAATCCCGCTATTCGAACAATCGAATCTTCGTTTCGATCGAACAGATCGATCACACGTTTCGTTCGAATCTTTTGTTTAAATTCTGTCTGACTGGAACAAGGATTGTCCAGTACGATAGGCAGCAGCCTCCGCGACGTTCGCCAATTCTTTCGCCCATGTTCGTTGTTTACCGTGAACCGAGTGCGTGCGTGTAATGGTTACGTTACGACTTATGTTATTCCGTAGAACCGGGCGAGGAGGGTCACGGGCGGAGGGAGAGATATGGATTTGAGGAAGGAGGGGAGAGAGTTATAAGGCCAGAGTTCGCTCCATTCATACCGTACATATGTGATTGGCCGGCAGCACACCGTTGCACTTGGCAGTGAGTGTAGAGAGAAAGAGAGAGAGAGAGAAAGAGAGAGAGGAAGAAAGACAGAGAGAGAGAGATACGGTGAGATACCTGGATGCAGTGATGCAGTGACCCTCACTTTTCTCTCGCACGCTCAGGAATAGATGAGTCTCTCTCTTTTCGAGAGTGCAATCGACTAAGTACGTTTCTTTATGCTACTTACAAGAGATTGTAAGATGTTCATTGAAAACGCGTGTTTTAATAAAATAATCTTCACGCACTTCCAATATTAAAATCTTGAACATCTTTTAAATTATGTATAAAAGATAAATCTCTCGTAGGGATTACGAGAAAATATTGTACATATGAGTATGACATGGATTTATAATTTAGTAAATCGATTCGAAAGGATTAACACGAGAAATATAATATTAAGGGAGAAGTTTCTATTTTTTAAATTGTAAATTACAGGGACTAAGAGACATAAAAAAAAAATGTGAACGAAAGGATTGACGAATCACTTTTATACACGCGTTTCCAATTGTAAACATTCAAATCGATGCTTATTTCTCACACTTTCGACTCGGATTGAAGGTGATTTTCCATTAGCGGGAAATAGGATAATAACGGCTAATGACGTGCGCGCTAATGTACGTACACGTCAACTTGTATTTCAGCTGATGTCACGATATGTATGCACCATGCGCTAATTAAATTTGCAGAAACACTCGCACCCAAGGGCGGCTTATGGTCGCATCCTACGACACGCGTCTCTCTCACGTTCGCTTAGAAGTGTCCGTAACAAAATCTTGACGCTGCAGTATCTCCTTGTCCACTGTAGCGGGATTAAAATCCTCTCGGAGAAGCGTTCATCTCCCTACTTCGGCGACGAGGACTTCCGGTTTTGCGCCATTAACTAACTTGGCTTGTTTCTCCGCCTGATGCGAGCTTCTGCTAGCCAAGCCTGGAGTGTCCTTTACTGCCGCGGCTCTCGTACTTACGTTCCCGGGACTAATGACGGCTCCAGCATCGCGCATGCTGCATCCATCCGCATTACGATCCTCGAGAATGCAACGAGAGGGTTAAAGACATAAGCGAGAGGATAGAGGAGGCTCGGTTATTAGGCGCGTTCTTGTCTTTGACGCATGCACTATGCATCGGTCTAACGGCGAAATAATGGCAGACGCGGAAATTAAGGGCCAAAATTAATTTTGAAAGATCCCACCAATTATAAAACGTTATATACGATTTTTTAAATCTTATGCGTGAGAAGAACGTTAAACGCAGCGCCTTGTTATTTTTAGTAAAATTAATGCCTTTTTTATTTAAAAAGAGAACATTTTTTATTCCTTTAGACAGTACACGGATACACATACGATAATTCGTCGATGAGTAAAAGGTGGTAATTGACAGGTCACGAATTGAAATAATCGATCTTTTGAGGAAGTGGAAAATCGAGCTTTCGGATATCATTATGATAATTTGACATTTCCATGAAATGCACGGTATACACAGGAATTACGTAATACAAGAACGTTTTTTTGATATGTAATCAGGTTGTAATTCTTGTTTGTTACTGGAAACGAATATGATTGTAGAATAAAAGATAAATTCTATTAATATTCTGTCATAATATAATTAATTTAATCTTTTTCTTTTACATTTACTATAAAAAATAAGAAAAATAAAAAAATGAAATAAAATAAAAAATGAAAAAAGGATAAAAATAAAGAAAAATAAAGAAGTACATGTACGTGCAGAAGAGCATTTCGATAGTAAGTTGTGAACTTTCCAAGGCAACCAATTTGGGTCGATGATAACTCTTCTACGCTCTCGCGAATTTCAGCACATCGCTATTCTGTCTCCTGTCATTAATTTGCTTAAGATTAATCAATTACGCGCAATATATATATATATCTTTTCTTGAAAATTTCTACAGATTAAATGTCGCTTGTTTTTTTAACATTGTTTTCTAGCTACTCGATATGCAGGATGATATCAATGTCAATCTTGACTGATGACCCTCGGGCACTTTCGTTGCGAAGTGAGTGCACGGTGGAATTTATATTGAAAATTCCATTTTCGGAAGGGCCGTCCTCTCACTCACGGCCGAACGTGCAAATATTTTCGACGTTTAAGTTCACGTGTAGCGATTTTTTCGTAGCGTTTTCGACGTGCGCGCTTGGAATTGAAGTGAAGCTTTTCGGCATTTTCCACGCGTTTCGTTTAAATCAGAATCAGATTGTCACGGTTAAAATTGTTACTTCCCACCGCGGTTAAAAATACTTATTATTTACGTTTCTTGAAAATGGTTACGGAAAACAAATAAGAAAAAAAGGATAATTAAATTAATTAATTACAATATTAATTTAATCTAATCTCGCTCTATAAATCCTTACGTAAATCCGACAACGGATTTCAAGTTTCCTTAAGAAATTTCGATGTAAGATCTTTCAAGTTTCTGTTTCTTATACAAATCGAAAAGAATCGATTGACGAATTTAAAAAGTGTCCGCATAATTGTAATACTTCGATAAGGTAAGATTGAAGTTTATGCGTTTGAAACCCTGTAAATTTTTGTTTCCGAATGTTTGGCTTCGAAAGGACATCGTTTTCTACTGAAAATTTAAACGCTTCTTCGATTAAGGCTTTTCGATAATTATTTTAGCCGACGTAACTTTCGATAATTGCGTTCTGCATCGTGCACTAAGATTTTGCGATCGTTAATTAACTGCTAATTGGATCTTATTAATCGGGATTCTACCGTACATTCGTTGCGCATTCACCGGGTGCTGCTTTGTCTATGTTAATAGAGGATACACGTAGCCTGTGCGGATCGCTGTGCATCCTCTCGGATTAATGTAATGCATTACACAAGACACGATCTGACTGCCGAGACGGTAGAGAGAATCGAATAAAAAAGAAATTCAACCAGCTTGATCTGATGTTGTTACCAAGCCACAAATTTGTACTTACATCACGAATAGCGTCAAATAAAATAACGCCCTAATTTTTTGTGCACGATTTTATTTTTTAGATATTTAAATCAACTTTATTGTTAACTTTTTTAATTAAATTTTGCTAATGCGTCTACAAAGAGCAATATAAATCGTTCACTTTCTATCATCCCGATTAAAGATCAGCACACAAATTTGGATTTTATTAGAAACGAAATAAAAAAGCGCGATAAGTATCATAAAAAATTGAAAAAAAAAATTCAATTTTTTTTATCAAGTATGTATCGGCATCGTATATTTTCCGTCATCAAAATTATTTAACAAATTATTTAATAATTTATTATGTAAGAGAGGACAAGCGTAAGAGCCAAAATTTCGAGGATACCTTATATACGCGCGTTTCGATAACCCGGCTGACACACTATAATTAAAGTTTCGTTACGTAACGAGAAATTTATACTCGCGATCGCAGGATGCAGATATCAGGGTCGCCGATATCAGGAAGGGACGGCTGTGGATACGTCCGAGCCCTGTCTACGGTGCCGATGCATCGAAGGCGCATTGAGATGCCGGCTACGAGTGTGCCCGCGATTGCCGAATCCACCACCGACGGGCTGTCACGTACGTTCACCAACCGAGGATGCGTGTTGCACGGAGCTGGTATGCGGCGAGCAACGTTAGTAAGATAATATCTCACTTATCGCTACTGGATTATCTTGTTGATAGAAAGACTTTTTCGCTTCACCAACAGAAACAAAATTGTCCTCTTCCGACATCTGCCGCTCAAGCCTCGCTGCCGGAAATCATTATTCGTTCTTATTCTTTCTCCTTCGTTCTTATATTTCTCGTCTTGTTTTCACTCTTGAAACTACCGGGAATATTTACGGAGAAAAAACGGGTTCGCTGTTTCAGTGACCAGTTTCGAACATTTCTCTATTAATGAGAAAATACTGTAAACCGTTTATGGCCAATAACTGTTATAGAACCGAAAAGTCTTTCTGTGAACGGAGAATTCAAGAAATTACAGAAAGATATTATACCTCACATGATCTTTTTTATATTCGTACTTATATTTCTTTTCATTTCAAACATAATATCAATCATTTTTTATAAATAATTTTTATATGAATTATCTGAATTATAACTTAATTATTCAGAATTAAATGATTATTATATTAAAAATTGCGTGTGGAGATGTTTATGTTAATACATAAACTTATCTTGTCCCTTTTATAGAAACCGTTGTATTAAAACGTATAAAAGTTTCGACTCTGTGGTAAAGTAAATTAAAGAGTTAATTGTGATAAGCTAGGGTTTAAATTTATTATTTGGCGTGCAGACGATGTCGAGAATATGTTGCGGAGAGCCAATATACCAACAAACATAGAAGCTGAGAAGCATGCTCAACCTCACGAAGGTATTTCTATCTATTCTGTTCATTTTATATTTTCTTATTTACCTTTGGAAAAAAATGTCGTATATTTATTATACAAATAATCTCTTTTTTTTTAATTATATTCGCGCGTGTACACATATACACAACAGATAAGTGGTATTTATTTCATAAACTGGCAATTTGACTCAACTTATTATATAGCTTAAGTAATAATTTATTTTTAATTTAATTGAATGTAATGTATTCTTGGTTAAATTAGTAGCGTTCTGTGTGTGCGCGCTATTATTTTTAATAATTTTCATTCTAACTTCATCTCTGGAAAGAGCGTCTGGGTTACTTCTGTGGTAAATAAATGAGCCTCGTTACGCCCGAGTAAACTTGGGTAAATAAATTGAGGTAGGTGGAGAACACTCGGGCATAATACAGAAGAGAGGGGTTAAAATGGCTCGTTACTGCTGAAACAAAAGTAATTTTAAATTAATTCGGGATTTCTTTGCTGTCGCAAGGTTTATGTCAGTACATACTTTCATCTTTGCACGGTACAGCATTAAATTCGGTATATCTTACCGCAATATAATAATGAAATTACATACATGTTATGTGTATTGCAATTAAACCGATATATGTGTGATTTTTTTTGTTACTTTAATTTTATTTATTTTTAAATAATATAAATGATTATTATCTCTATTATCTGATGATCTGTAAATTTCTATTTAATATCTCACATTATTCTTGTTCGTGTCAATGAATTGAGCACTTCTTTATTTTGGGTTGTAAAGTTTACAAAGTTCCTTTCCTGTCCATAAAATATAAAAAAAGAAATCCCGAGTTAATGAAGTTAAACATATTGAATAATAAAATACAAGAGAGCATTCGTCAGAGTTGCATTTTCCCTCGAAACAACAACATTGCTTACATTACTTTATAAATGTATAGAGCCTGTGCGTCTTTCTTGAAAGCATTGTTAAATAAATTACCGGGCACCGAGAACTTCGCCGAACTTCGACGAGAAGTTCATGTGCTATCTTACAGACAGGAACGATCTTAACGAGAGCAATTTAACGTAAATTACAAAAAACTCCATTCAGTGCTCGATTGCAATTAAAGATTAACTGTTGTATATATATATATATATAGTTTCCGTTCTTTTTAAGATCAACGACTGATTATCGTTATGAATGTTATATCGCAAAATAAAATAATTAAAATACTACAGAGGCGTAAATTAACATAACGGAGTTGAAGATTTTATCTGACAAATGATAGAAGATAATATAAAAAGAGAAAAGTCTCGGGTATCAAATAAAAAAAAATATACTTCGTATTTCTGGTATATAGATGGATTTGTATTACTAAAATTCTTGTAGTATAGTTGGATTTAAAAAAAAAAAAAGCGAATTAAATTCGAAATACACTAGGATGTCTGCACGAGGGCGTTCAATACGGCTCGGGATCGGCGATGATGGGCTCGCGACGATGCGAGTATTGTTACTGCATATCCGGCTCGAGGAGATGCGTCCGTCCCAAGTGTCTGCTGCCACTGCCCGGATGTATGCCGCTGTACGCGCCCCATTCCTGC